GGATTAGGACTACAATCATCTATGTTGATTGAACAGTTCACCCCAGTGTAACCATCTAAGCAGACACAAGTATAACTTGCAACTTCATCTATGCAGTATGCATTTTGATTGTCACAAGGGTTAGGATCACAGTCATCAATATTAGTTAAGCAATCACTTCCTGTGTATCCTTCAATGCAACCTATTAGTTAATCATACAATAATAAATAACATTAAGTTTTCCTTAAGAAACATAGCTTACTGCAAAAGTAACTGTTATTTTCATTTGCAATGAAATTTATACCAGATGATGAACAGGAAACAGTATAACTACACTGACCAGTGGAAGTGAACGATAAGCAACAATCACCAGAGCCTGATCCAGTACACCTCATCAGTCCAGAATCACAAGCGATGTCACAAGCTAAATAAAATAAACCATTTTATATTCCTGTTGTAAATGGATATGTTGATTGGATTAACACCAATTAGCACTTATAATCTCAACACAAATAATGATAAAAAGGAGAGTGAAGAGAGGAGAGAGAGAAACACACGGGAGAGTAGTTAGTAAAAAGACCAAAAGAGCATGCACACACTAAGAAATATATATAAGTATAACCACAGAAGGTTCTAGAAGGGAGAGCACATGTAAAACCACAACTATAATTAGATTTACATAAAATAGAATAATAACATAATTAATTGCATGTATAGTACAGTGTATGCATGTACATTGTAAGCATAATATCAAGTTACCACAATTCCTATTTTACTAATTGGCTTACCTCTACATCTAGTATCACCACCAAAACCTTCCCTACACCGATAACAATCAGTTCTTGTAGGAGCACTAACAACACTGGCAGGAGGAGGATCTAAACTACCAGTCCTTCCACTCCATGTACCACTGATACACTCAATATCAAATATCCTGGTTTGTTCAGCTTCTCCTGGGTTAGGAGTGAATGTAGCTATAAGAGCTATGGCTTGATAAGTATCAATCATGCTTCCTTGAGCTTGACAGACATACTGAACTGATCCTTCAGTTACATTAGGAGAGTACACCTGGTTACCATCAGAAACGACTAGTAAAGGAGGCAATGCACTCTCTATCTGAGTTATGCTTGGTAGAGGACATTCTTGAGCAGCTATCAGAAGATGCAGTAGAGATAAGACAGCAAGGAAAATAAAATACTTCATATTTACTGATCA